CATAGCTATGACATAGTAACTATATAGTAATTATATAGTTGCTATTAAATTTAATAGCAACTATATAGTTACTATGTCGTAGCTATGCATTAAGGAATTTCAAGTTTCTGTAAAGTACTTATCGTTATTGTTTAAAAATTTCTGCCCAATCAAAATTCAAGAAATGCGGAAAAAGATTAGAAATTCCTGTTATCATACGTACGTACGTAGTACATATTATTCGGGGTCCTTGTTCGATATTTAAAGTTTTGATTGTGGAATTTATTCTTTCAGTATATTCTTACATTATCGTTACAGATTGATTTAAATGAATTATCATCAACGCAATCGTTATTTTTCATAGAAAAGACCTGAATTAACATATTATAGTAAATTAAAAATACTTAACGTAGACTTATATGATTTCAAGGAAAAAAGACATTCAATTCATATATCGGAATAGTAAAGGATATTTACATTAATAGCATTATTTATAGATTATATGAACGAAGTATACTGTATGGCTTTGCCAAGCGCATGGAAAGTTAATGATAAATCCACTCTTTTAAGTGTGGATGAAAATGGACTTATAGTAAATTATATTGGTGAGAATATTGTATTTAAATTATATTTTGCTATCTCCACACGAGTATAACGAATGCTCATAAATATTCATAATTAGCTATCCGATTTTTTATAAAAAATTTAATGATGCCACATAACATATTAACTTACTAAGTTTTTTTTTGCTAAATAAAAGAGCGTGGTGAAAATATAAAAGACGCTGTAATTCGTGCGGATAATCCAGTTCCATCAGAATGCGAATTATTTTATTTTGAAACTGATATTATAAAGGAAGGGTAAGAGGCAAATCTCTCACGACTTTTTCATTTGTAAATAATATTAGCTTCTTTATTAATTTATTTAATCTTTTTTGAAAGAACTATCGCAATTGGATTTTGCTCAAATTTCGATAAAATAAATAAAATGCCCGGTAATTACTTACTTTTATGAGTTATTAAATGTTCTTATTATTGGCTAAATTTTCATAGGGTGCGAGCCTGATTCATGGGGATATCATAGCGATGATGGAGATTTTTTTAATTGTGCAATAATAAACGAGCCATACGGGCCTACGTTTACAACTGGAGATACTATTGGATGTTGTTTAAACTTCAAAAATAAGACTGCATTCTTTACCAAAAATGGCGTGAATCTAGGTCAATATAATTTAATAACAAAGTTTATTTATTTTATCTTAATCGATAAAAATTGATACCTTATAACATCTTTAAGGAATTTCGTTACGAGGTTTGAAGGATAAACTATATCCTTGCATTGGACTAAGAGGTGGATCTATAGATACAAACTTTGGGAATAAAAAGTTCAAATACGCAGGCATGTTTTATCTAGCATTAAATATTTACATCTCTTTATATGTGGTTTATTATGCTAATGTGAAGTTTATGATTAGCATTGACTGATGATGATATTAATGATGAGTTAATGAAAGATAAATGGGTTAATCCTCTTAATCAATGTCATAATAAATGCATAAAAATACTTGAGGATTTGTCGAATTCATTGAAAATTAAACCAAATGATACAATTTCATTAAAATATCGTGGAAAAATCTATTTTATTATTGGCAAATATGAAAAAGCGCTTGAAGATTTAACAGGATTGCTAAAAATTGAATCAAATAATACATTTGCATTAAGATATCGTGCTGAAACTTATTTTATATTAAATAAATATGATGAATCACATGAAGAAGTTAGTAATTTATTAAAAATCGACGAAACTAATGCATGGGCGATAGAAGCCAATAATGATATTGTAAATCAGTGGGTATAAATATAAATTATCGCTACTCAGTAAATAATGTATTTTATTGTCAAAACAATTCTTTTATTAAATATTACCTCTCTGTTCTTTCACTTATGTATTAAATCACTAGACGGTATTATAGTCTATTCATAAATAATACACATTTTATCGTCAATAGAATTGAATTCTCTATTAAACATTATTTCTCGATTCTTTCACCTACGTGCTAAATTACCAGGGAGTAAGTATATAGTTTATTCATAAAATAATACACGTTTTATCATAAATATAATTTATTAAATACTACTTTTCTGTTCTTCACTTCATGTTAAATTACTAGACGGTAATTATAGTTTATTCATAAAATTATCATCAATGGAATTCTCTATTAAATATTACTTCTCTGTTCTTTCATTTATGTGTTAAATTATCAGTTTGTAAATATATAGTTTAGTTATAAACTAATGTACATATATCATCAATAGAATTCTCTATTAAATATTATTTCTCTGTTCTTTCACTTACGTGTTAAATTGCCAGGGTGTAAGTATATAGTTTATTCATAATATAATGCACACACATCTTATCGTCAATAGAATTCTCTATTAAATATTACTTCACTTACGTGTTAAACTACCAGTTTGTAAATATATATAGTTTATTAATAAAATAATGCACATATTTTATCGTCAATAGAATTCTCTATTAAATATTACTTCTCTGTTCTTTCACATACGTGTTAAATTACCAGAGCGTAAGTACATAGTTTATTCATAAATAATGTACACATTTATCAACAATAGAATTCTCAATTAAATATTATTTATCGATTCTTTCACTTACCTTAAATTACCAGTTTGTAAGCATATAGTTTATTCATAAAATAATGTACACATTTTATCATCAACAAAACACTCTATTAAATATTACTTCTCTGTTCTTTCACTTATGTGTTAAATTACCAGGAAGTAAATATATAGTTTATTCATAAAATAAACATTTTATCGTCAATAGAATTCTCTATTAAATATTTTTCATTTACGTGTTGAATTACCAGGGAGTAAGTATATAGTTTATTCATAAAATAATATTAATACACATTCTATCATCAGTAGAATTCTATATTAAATATTATTTCTCTGTTCTATCACTCACGTGTTAAAATACCAGTTTGTAAGTATATAATTCACTCAAAAAATAATGTATACATTTTATCGTTAATAAAATTCTCTATTAAATATTACTTCTCTGTTCTTTCATTTATGTTAAATAATTAGACGGTAATTTATAGTTTATTCATAAATAATGTACACATTTTATCCTCAATAGAATTTTCTATTAAACATTATTTCTCTATTCTTTCACTTACGTGTCAAATTACCAGTTCGTAAGTATATAGTTTATTCATAAAATAATGTACACACATTTTATCGTCAATAGAATTCTCTATTAAATATTGCTTTTCTGTCCTTTCACTTACGCGTTAAATTACCAGGAAGTAAGTATAGTTTATTCATAAAATAATGTACAAACATTTTATCGTCATTAGAAATCTCCATTAAATATTACTTCTCTGTTCTTTCACTTACGTGTTAAATTACCAGGGCGTAAGTATAGTTTATTCATAAAATGCTGTACACATATTTTATCTTCAATAGAATTCTATTAAATATTACTTCTATGTTCTTTCACTTACGTGTTAAATTACCAGTTGGTAAGTATATAGCTTATTCATAAAATAATACACACATTTTATCGTCAATAGAATTTTCTATTAAATATTTTTCACTTACGTGTTTAATTACCAGGAAGTAAGTCACTTTAATCATAAAATAATGTACACACATTTATCGTCAATGGAATTATCTATTAAATGTTACTTCTCTGTTCTTTCACTTACGTGCAAATTACCAGGGTGTAAGTATATAGTTTATTCATAAAATAATGTACACACATTTTATCGTCAATAGAATTCTCTATTAAATATTACACTTCTCTGTTCTTTCACTTACGTATTAAATTACCAGGAAGTAAGTATATAGTTTATTCATAAAATAATGTAAACACAATTTATCGTCAATAGAATTCTCTATTGAATATTAATTCTCTGTTCTTTCATTTATGTGTTAAATTACCAGTTTGTAAGTATATAGTTTATTCATAAAATAATTATCGTCAATAGAATACTCTATTGAATATTACTTATCTGTTCTTTCACTTACGTGTTAAATTACCAGTGGGCAAGTATATTTTTTTCATTAAATAATGTACGCACATCTTATCGTCAATAGAATTATCTATTAAATATTACTTCACTGTTCTCTCACTTACGTGTTAAATTAACCAGCAAGTAATTATCCAATTTATTCATAAAATAATGTACACATTTTATCGTCAATAGAATTCTCTATTAAATATTACTTCTCTGTTCTTTCACTTACGTGTTAAATTACCAGGGCGTAAGTATATAGTTTATTCATAAAATAATGTACACACAGTTTATCGTCTCTATTAAATCTTAATTCCCTGTTCTTTCACTTACGTGTTAAATTACCAGTTTGTAAGTATATATAGTTTATTCATAAAATAATGTACACATATTTTATCGTCTCAATTAAATATTACTTCTCTGTTCTTTCACTTACGTATTAAATTACCAGTGGGTAAGTATATAGTTTATTCATAAAATAATGTCCACACATTTTATCGGTAATTGTATTCTCTATTAAATATTAATTCTCTGTTCTTTCATTTACGTGTTAAATTACCAGTTTGTAAGTATATAGTTTATTCATAAAATAATTATCGTCAATAGAATTCTCTATTAAATATTACTTCTCTGTTCTTTCACTTATGTGTTGAATTATCAGGGGGTAAGTATATAGTTTATTCATAAAATAATGTACATACATTTTGTTCAATAGAATTCTCTATTGAATATTACTTCTATGTTCTTCACTTACGTGTTAAATTACCAGGGTGTAAGTACATAGTTTATTCATAAAATAACGTACAATTTTATCGTCAATAGAATTCTCTATTAAATATTACTGTTATTTTAAATTACCAGGAAGTAAGTATATAGTTTATTCATAAAATAACATACACACATTTTATCGTTAATTGAATTCTCTATTGAATATTACTTCTATGTTCTTTCACTTACGTGTTAAATTACCAGTTTGTAAGTATAAAATAATGTACATACATTTTATCGTCAATAAAATTCTCTATTAAATATTACTTCTTTGTCTTTTCACTTACGTGTTAAATTACCAGGGCGTAAGTGTATAATTTATTCATAAAATAATGTAGACATTTTATCGTCAATAGAAATATTACTTTGTTTTTTACTTACGTGTTAAATTACCAGTTTGTAAGTACATAGTTTAGTCATAAGATAATGTACACATTTTATCGTCAATAGAAATCTCTATTAAATATCACTTCTCTGTTCTTTCACTTACGTGTTAAACTACCAGTCTGTAAGTATATAGTTTATTCATAAAATAATGTACACATTTTATCGTCAATAGAATTCTCTATTAAATTTTACTTCTCTGCTATTTCACTTTATGCGTTAAATTATCAGTTTGTAAGTATATAGTTTATTCATAAAATAATGTACGCACATTTTATCGTCAATAGAATTCTCTATTAAATATTACTTCTCTGTTCTTTCGTTTACATGTTAAATTACCAGGGTGTAAGTATATAGTTTATTCATAAAATAATGCACACACATTTTATCGTCAGTAGAATTCTCTATTAAATATTACTTCTCACTTACGTGTTAAATTACCAGTTTGTAAGTATATAGTTTATTCATAAAATAATGTACACACATTTTATCATCAAT